GAGTTAGTGCTTTTGAATTCAAATGTCAGCATCGCTTTAGGCGACCTATCATCATTATTATTATTAGTAACAATAATTAACAATAATAATAATTATTATTATTATTATGAAATACTAGTTATGCTATAAGATTGCGCAGTTCAATAATCTTGTCTAATCATCATTATCAGATTGCATGGTTCAATGTACGCCGGATGTATGCGGTGATCACGGCGATTGTGAAGTAATTAATGGAACTCACATTCGATGTTCATGTCGCGACTATTATGATGGCCCAAATTGTGAAATTTGTTAGTTTCAATATTGGAATTTGGATTATATTGCAGTTAGTTATACTGGATAAATATATTATTATTTATGTATATCGATAGTCAAATCGATAGTATATTTATAAAAATGCTTTCGAACAAGTTCTTCTTGTTGAAAAATCTAATTGGATAAATTTCTCAATAATTTATAATTAAATGAAAAGAAAGAAATAAACAAAAGTGAAATGTTTGCAGTTAAGCCAATTGAACATGCAGCGAAATTTGATGGTAAAGCATTTATTGTATTTTCCATTGATGATTTTCCACACTTAACTTCGGAACACGAAGAAAGTTTAAGTTTACGATTCAAAACATCCGCATCATCCGGGGTATCATTTATGTTTTATTTGAAACGGAACGAGAGAATAAAACGTTTTTGTTGTTGTTTGATAGTCAGTATCGCATCGCTACAACTGTATTGGTCTCTTAATAATTTCCTCTAAATGACCAGTAAATTATATAATCAGTAGAAAGAGGGGAGGAGAGGGTCATTAAACTTTAATCCAAAATATGCTTCAATGATTTATTTTTCTCCGTTGTTTCTACATTGAAATACAATATAATTAGATTTTCTTTTTTTATTGCCCATAACTTAAATTTCAGTAAATAAATAAAATAAAAAGTACTTTTGCAGTTAATATTTTGGCAAGGTCAGCCATTTGATGTACCTCTGAAGGGCGACGACTATATTTCGATTGGCTTGAGTGATGGTCACTTGGTCTTCTCGTAAGTTTAATATATTTTTTCTCTTAAATTTTTTTAGCTATACCAAATTTGATTCTCATTTTTAAGTATTATTGAACTTTAATTAAAGATATGAACTTGGTGGTGGTGCATCGCAACTAATCAGTAACGAAGTGGTAAATGATGATAATGAGCATCAGTTACGAATTTGGAGGAAAGGTCGCGATGGAAAGATGATCATCGATGAGGGAGCGCCAGTTGTAGGCTCATCATTCGGCATTGTCGCTATGCTCAATGTAGATGGAGATGTTTATATCGGTTAGATTTACATACAGTTAAATACAGGCAAAATTTGAAAGATGAATTTTTTGAAGTTGAGCTTTTTATTGTTTCTTTCAAAAAACACTTGAAAAATTGAAAAAGAATTAAATTATTGATAAAAAGTTGTAGGAAATAATTAATAATTATAGTATAATATTAATGTACAAAAAAAGATATGGAAAAAATCTAGAAGTAAGTTGTATTATTAATATGCGAAAAAAAAGATATGGAAAATGTAAGAAACGAGTAATAATTGTAGAAAGATAAAGTAATTTATGTGCAAAGAACAAAATAAAATAATTAATAAGTGTAAAATTAAGTAAGTTTTATTTTTACTTATTAACTCACCCTTTTATAATTTCATTCCTTTTTTTCTCATTCGATACTAGCATAAACGTGTCTTGTAGTATGTATTGGGGTAATTTAAGGAATATTAGCTGCTGTCAAATAATTGAAGTTATATCCGAAATTTCTGTGCTTATTTTAGCACTTATTAAAAGTCTTAGTTTAGAAACAATTTCAAAAATTTGATTATTTTTTTGCAAGAAATAGAAAAAGGATATGTACAAATTGTATAATTTGTTAGTATTGAAGAGAAGAAAAAGTTTTGAAAAGGGAAAGAAAAGAAAAGGAAAAATTGACCCATTTGAGGTGGTGTGCCCGACTTGGATAGTATGACCGGTGGTTTGTATGAAGAAAACTTTGTTGGTTGTATCGGCGATATAACATTCAACGGTGTAAAAATGGATTTAATGGCAAACGCAATTGATGGACGAAATGTGAAACCGTGTGACCAATGGGTGAGAAAGAAGAAATGGATACAGATTAGAAAGTATCGATGGCGCTGATGTGGGAAAACAGAAAGTTTCATTTCCTTGCAATAAGTATTTTATATTGTTGTAATAATAAAGTGAATTATATTGTAATATACGAAAGAGATGAAAGTTAGAAATGTTAATTTTAATTTAAATCAATTTAACAAATATGACTATTCAACTTTTTTGTCATTATTCTATGCTCATAATACAAAAATAACCTAAGTGGATAATTTTTGGCAAACAAAGAAATTTGTAAATGTCAGTGAACGAAGCATAATTTCATCAAGCAAGTTTTTTTTCTCTCTTTTCCTGAATATTATTCTAAATTCTTCACTATCTTTTGCATCCCTTAATTGGACGAAATTTGATATGAAAATTTAACCTTCAATTTTAAACTAAATTTCATTTTCTGCATTTTGTGTTCAATCAATCAATCAATCATTATGCGCATTTGTTTAATAAGAATCTCCACTTTTACGCATATTGAAATTTCCTTCTTTCTCATTCCATTATTGTAACTGAAATTGATCGAAAATTTTGTGTTCTTTTCCATTGATGCAACATAACATTTTCAAAAATGGAAGAAAAAAATATAAAAATGGTTCATCAACAATGTGAAAATGAAGAAAGATTTCAAAAATGAAACAAAGAAATAAAAATTTTAGTGATAAATTATTCAAATTTATAAATATTCAAAATTCACGATAAATCCAATATTCTATAAAAATAGCTCCATTAATAATTTAAATATTCATTATTATCTGAAATAAGATTTCTTTTCAAAAATAGTCTGTTCTCGTTACATATACATCTTTACATATTAATACATTTATTATTAATTGCTTCATGTTACATGATTTTCAATTGAATTTGTGTCTACTAAAATTCGGATATATATCATTATACATGCATATCTTTAATCATATTTTACTCATTAACAATTTTC